CCCCCCCCCCGCCCCCTCCCCAACCCCTTCCACAGAACCACAAATTGTTACACAAACTCCTGGAAAAACTTCTTCCCAAGGTTTGACCCACTCTGCCATCAGTATTGGTACTGTCTCGGTGAATCAAGTGGAGGGGGGGACTGCTGCCCTTCTACTCAATTCCCTCAGTAACCCCACTCGCAACTCACTCCACCACTCCCAAAAGCATTTTGCCACTACCTAGTTACGATGAAAACTCCCACCACTGAATTTTCACACAGCCACTCTGTGTTAACTCTCCCTTTCTCCCTCTCGCCACTCAGGCAAAACTAGGCTCTCACTATTACATTATGAATAGATACGATTGCCTAGAATCCGAGCGACACGATTCAACGATTTATGCGTGTGATAGTTGTTTTTGAGGAATTTTGTGGTTATCATTTTGAAATTATTTAATTCCTTTGGGCCATACAGCAGGAATTAAATATAAAAAATAAGTAGTTCAATTGACACTACGTTTCTAATACACAAAGCATTATTATTCAGATGCAGTTTTATTCTCAAAAATATCAGAAAGGCAAAATTACTAATCATATAACTAAAAACTGTTGTTGAATCATAAGCTACAATGTAAGAATCCTATCTTCTTACTAAAATTAAAAAATAGCGGACAAAAATTCCATTGAAATTTGTAATTTTGTTGTTATACTGCACCGATTTCAATTTTTCTTTCTTCAAAATACTCGTCTCGACGGCTTCTATCGGGATCCATCAAAATATTTATAACCGTTCATACAACATTTTCAAGATATTGCCGTTTTTTCGTTTTCTCTGTTTTTTTCATTTTTGTACACACGATAACTTGAGAAACAGGTGGGAAATTGCTCTTGTATTGCAAATACTATAGCTATTTTTGCAAAAAAAATTTCAAAATGCTTCTGAATGGGTATTTTGCACATCATTTCCTTCTATCATGTATAATTCATTGTTTCTTTCATTTTATTACTTTGTATACGATTTCTTTTTAACTAATTTTGTCAAACTTTTAACTTAGTTGAATGTTATCATCATCATTATTATTATTATCTCTTTCTTCCATACAACTGATTGTCTTTTTTGCGGTTTTATTTCTCCCCTCAGCCCTTCGATAAAATGTTAATAGAAAAATTTTATTTATACATATCTGAAAGAATTTGAAACATCATATTTGAAGCAACCATCAGAAATCTCACTTTCCGGGAAATTCACGAAAAATTCGAAATTTGCAATAATCATAAAAATCAAATCAACAATATAGCTATCGTAATCATCTTTTAGCTTCAACTTAATGCATTAAAACAAACATTTCAAGCTATGGATGAATTCATTTGAAGCATGATATTCAAAGATATCCTCAGAATTCTGATTTTCAAAAAATACAAAATTTTTGCAAATTTTCAAATAAATCAAAATAACCATTATCCGAATAATTTTTTTAAGCCGTCATTCAATCGATTCATAACATTTTTTAGCTATCATGGGACAATTGATTTTTGAAAAAAATCGAAAATTAAAAAAAAACTAATCGGTGAATTAAATTTTAATTAATGGCGATCGATAGAGATCAACCATAAATAGAAAAAAGACTCAATCTTATCCATTCATTTGCGAACAATTGAATTAGCGTCCGGGGGAGGCCTAAAAATGGCATTTTCGCACTTTTTGGATAGTACTCAATCGATATAACACAAAAAAATCTACAACTTAATTGTGAACGATTACAACGCTTCCACTCGGATCAACACATATAGGGAATTGCTACGGATCCATTCGGAAACTTATTACTAATGGAATTGGTAGAAATAAAAAAAAGAAAAACCCTAATGACGCAAAAATTAACGGTCACATGTCCTTCTGTCGGATAGGCTCGAACCCCTGCTTGTTGACTTCTAAATTTTTGGAAAATAAATTGATTCTCCGAGTCGAAACTTCTCTTTGTTAAAAAATGATTTTCAGGTGTAGAAATACAAAAGAGAGGAAAAAAATCGTGAGATACTAAAATTTCGATATTCTCATTCTGCCCCCGATGCGGTAATCCCAACTTGTGGTTTCTCATTCTTCTGTGACTTCCTTCCTCTCTCCTCCTTTCTCCCTACTGTGACACTGGCTCCGTCTTTCAAGATGACGCTTATCACTCTCACTCTTATTTATGTTTTTTTTTATTATTCTATTTCCTCGATGCAGGGCAACTCATCGTATTTCTCGTTCTCATTTAATCAATGTTGTGATTGTATCTGTCCGTTATTGGGTTAGTGTGACTTGCTTTTGGGATAGTGAAGAGGCTTTTATTTGAAATAGAACTGGATTAATTATCATATGTTGGCGACGAGGGAAGTTGACACACGTGGCGCTTACAATAGTCAACTCGTGTGTTGTTGTCATCTAGACCGAAATATTTCCTTGTAACACGTAAATGCCTTACGCACAACTTCACTGTCACGTTCTATTCTTGATTCGATACTCGAAAGGGCAGGCATTATTCACACTCCCCCCTAATTTTCCCCAAAATCATTTTTGTCTCACAGTTACGAAGATTGAAATACTCTCACGTGCATTGGTTATGCACATAATGAAAATTTAGAACGTTATATATATCTTTATTATTTACTTTATTTACTGT